TATCTCTTCCAATCACTTGGCCAGATAGTTGTCTTTCAAATTTCTTGGCAGAGATGCAGCTTCATAGACTAAATACCCTTAATCATTTCCTTATATAAAGTTAGTTAAAGGAGTTTTGACTATAATAAGCCTGGATAAGGTTAATGTAAATGTCCACCTAACGCATACATTCGGCATTTGGACTTTAGATCCCACCATTAATATGGCATCTGGCACATTTTGGGCACACAGTAAATGCTGCTTGAATAATACTGCTTTTTTGTGTGGTTCCTATTGCCTGCCCTTTGACCCCACTCTGTGATCCCTCAGGAAGAGAATTCTCTTGCTTAGACAGAATGCCGCCATCTCTCAATGTGTGGAGGTGGGAGGAGAGTACAGCCGAGTGAAAACAGAAGGTGGGACACCGGCACAGGTCCGGAGGAGCAGGTCAGGGAGAAGGCTGCAAATTGATTTGATCAAATTAGGCCAGTTTTTCTTTGATGCTTGAACCTCAGAAGGAGATTTAAGTACCAACATTCAGGGCAAATGGCTAGTATTTTTTTCTTAAATATATTCTGTTTGGTTGGAATGCAGCAAAACCTGTGAAAGCAGGAACTTGACCCAGTTGCCTTGTTTTCCAGGTCTCACAAGTTTTCTGTCTTTGACAGGGTACAGTTTGCTATGGCTCATTTTAGTGGCTATTTTTGTTACTTTTTTGTCTGACAGGTTTCTGTTTTATACAGGTTCTGGAGTTTGCAATTTTACTGTTGTTGTTAAGTGCTGTAGAGTTGATTCCGACCCATAGTGACCCAGTATAGGGTTTCTGAGGAGCCGCTGGTGAGCTTGAACACTGATCTTGCAGTTCAAACGGCTTTGTATTCTGGCGCATTAACCCACAGCGCCACACAAGCTTTACTGGCTTGTTTTTAATTATTTATTTTTTAACTGCAAATAATGATTTTCTAAAAATGCTATTGTGGGCTAATTGGGGTGGGGTCTAAATGGTGATTTAGGATGAATTTCAGAACCCAGGTTTTTCTCTACTAATGGCACATAATTTGATTCTTTTATTTTTCTGTCCATGCTTTCTTGTGTGTGGGCAACAGAACAGCTCCGTATTAAGCCCCTTATGTTTCCTCTCTTTATAACTTGATTACTCATGTCAGTTACTAGCCTCAAAAGTTGATTATCTTGTGAATACCTACAGGTCCCATTATTCTATCTAATTTAATAGAACAGCAAGTCCTTGTTCACACACAGTCTTATTATAATTCAATTTTCTATTAATTGTAGATCCTTGCTGGCACGTTTCTGGATATTTTGTTGAACTATCATTAAGAATTCAGAGAAACTGCTGAGTGACCAACTGAAAGAAAGATCTAATTTTCTGAAGGCTTACGTGAGTATTTTCTGCTGAGACCTTCCTTGCAATATATGGAACCTTAAATGAACTGTGGCCTTGCTTTAGGGCAGTTCCAGTTATGTGACCAAGATGAAAAATGTTTTCTATCCTTACACTTATTAAAATTGGAGGTAAGGTTAGCAGTTTCTTAGGGACACAAAGAAATGTACACAAGACATTGCACTTTCTCTTACTTTAAAACAAAAAGACAAGAAAGTGTTGTCTTTTTACTGTGCCAACATTCAAAAGGATCCCAGACTGCAAACCACAAGAAGTCTGACTGTATTTGAACCAAAAACACCAACTAGATTGTTTTTCATAATCTCATCTTACAGAATTTAACTAAAACATGTTACGTCTTGAAAGGCACTAGATATTTGGCATTTTCTTTTTGAATAAGGTTTGTAATAGCTTTGTCTGTTTTGTGATCCAAGCTAATGAAAGCCAGGGGAAGATAAGGGAATTACCCTCAAAAAGGAATTCTTGATGATTTTATTGAATAATGTGTTCCTATTGGATAAATTCCTTTAAAAATCATTTTGTTATGCCATAATGTGGAGTCCATTTTATCTTGAGCTCTGTAACTCTTAATACTAAACAAAATTTTCCTTATTTAAAATCAGCCTTAGTATCCTTTCTCACCCTCCAAATCTAATGGGCAATCAAGTTGTACTAATTGCCCCTCTCCAGTTAGTCCTCTTCTCTCTGCTACATCCTTAGGTCAGATTTTCATCATTTCTTGCCTCAATAACTATGACCTACCGATTGAGCACCCCGTCTCTAGTCCTAATCCCCTCCAGTCTTCTTACTATCCAAGCAGTCTTTCTGAAAAACTAATAGGCTATGTTGTATCCCATACTTAAAATCCTTTGATGGCTCTTCATTGAAATTCAGGTGTAATAAACCTTGGCATGGAATTGTTAGGAAGGTGAAATAAAACTCATGAAAAACCTCTATTCTGGGGCTTGACTCAGAGCAGGTCTTCAGTGCGTGTCATTTTCCCCTTCTTCAAAGAGCCTGGGGGCTCAAGGCAGCTGCAGAGCTCTAGTGTAGGACACCAGGGACAGAAGGACATGGGAACCAGGTGAAAAGAAGTAGGGGTCAAGATCTCACCAGACTCAGTATCCACACTAACCCCTGTGAGTTAGACATAGGAGTAGATAGGTCTGGAATTCAGTCCTATCAGTGTTAGGAAAGAACTTTGCCTGATAAATTGTTCAAACCAAGCCTACCTGTGACTAAACTTTTGTAACCTTACAGTGCCTAAGAATAAGTAAACATATTAGACTCTGCCTTTATACTTTCTTGTTTTCTCTTTTATTTCTTAGTAAAATTTCATTGATAATGCTTTAGCTTTTTTCTTAAATGAACTACAGGGAAAGAGAAGTGCTAGTTGTTTTCATTGTTGCCAGTACACCTAGCTAGAGCAGAATGTCCTCCGAGTTCAGGCCTACTGGCAGGGCAGGGATGGATCAGTGAAAGAGGCATGGGCAAAACGGTGGAGCTGAGTTACTCAGAGAGATGAAATAACAGAGTGGATGCAATAGGGATTGCTGCCTTTGTTCCACTTGTGTATTCCTGCACAAACCTGCTTTTCCTCATCTCAGTCTTCAGAAAAGATAACCACAGAACAGAGCTAAATAGGATCTGTAAAAAGAGGGACAGCCTGAAGTGATTACATGATATTTTCTACTTTTAAAGTCAGTCTTTCCTCAGTTTTTCTCTTCTATTAAAACTTGATATTTGCAGGTCCTGGTTGTAGTAGTAGTTGTGTACCATTGAGTTGGTTTTGACTCATAGCAACCCTGTAGAGGGCTTCTGGGGCTGTAAATCTTTATGGAAGCAGGAAGTCTCATCTTTCTTCTAAAGAGTGACTGCTCAATTCAAACTGCTGACCCTGAGGTTGGTAACTCAGATTGTAATCCACTACGCTACTAGGGCTCCGGAGCAGGGCCTTGTTAGATGCCCTCGAGTTGGTTCCGACTCACAGCATCCTTATGCACAACAGATGAAACACTGCCCACTCTTAGGCCATCCTCACAATCGTTGTTAAGCTTGAAAACATTGCTACTGCCACTGTGCCAGTCCTTCTTGTTGGGGGTCTCCCTCTTTTTTGCTGCCCATCCATTTGACCAGGCATGATGTCCTTCTCCAGGGCTTCGTCCCTCAAGATAATATATCCAAAGTCTGGCCATCTTGGCTTGTAAGGACCATTCTGATTGTACTTCCAACACAGATTTGTGTATTGTTCTAGCTGTCCATGGTACTTTCAATATTTGTCTCCAATACCATAATTCAAATGCATCAATTCTTCTACAGTCTTCTTTACTCATTGTCAAACTTCCACATGCATATGAGGCTATTGAAAATATCATGGCTTGGGTCAGGGTGGTCCTCAGTGGGTTGAAATTCAATAATTTGATCAGTTTTTATCATGCTTACCTCAGTTCACTTTTTGGGCAAGTAGTTCTCTTAGCCATTCAACAGTTTGAAACAAACATATGAAAGAGAATTACTTTATTAAATAAGAATATCTGTCAGCATTTCTAAAGGGCAGTTTTGTGATACAGATTAAGTTATCTGTAAATGGCTTCTGACAATGCAATAAACTTAAATCTCAGCAATTATATCTTGTTTACCTTTAAGGATATCTTAATTTTCTTACATTGTGAAAAGCAAAATTGGGCTTTTTAGTAATTTAATTGCCATTTTGATGTAACAGATATGAAGAAAATGACATTTTTAATGGAAAATAAAGTATAATCAGTAACTTTGCTGTTATTGATTTGATACGGTGATACATTAGAGGCAGGAGACTAAGAAGGATGAGAAATGAAGCATTTCTAAATGCCTTCATTGTCTTGATTTAGTTTCACAGACTCTTACCTGTCGTCTATATCATTACAGGTGTATCCCATCAACTTCATCAAATCAGAACAATGTCCTACGTTTTTGTAAATGATTCTTCTCAGACTAATGTGCCCTTACTACAAGCCTGTATTGATGGAGACTTTAACTATTCCAAGCGGCTTTTGGAAAGTGGCTTTGATCCAAATATTCGTGACAACAGGGGCAGAACAGGCCTTCACCTGGCAGCAGCCCGAGGGAATGTAGACATCTGCCAGTTGCTGCATAAATTTGGTGCTGATCTTCTGGCCACAGAATATCAAGGAAACACAGCTCTTCACCTTTGTGGTCATGTGGATACTATTCAATTCTTAGTTTCCAATGGACTCAAAATTGATATCTGGTAAGTTCTCTATGGTTTTTGAAGTCTAGTTATTTCTCCCAATTAGTCTCTCAACTGATGATCTGATATTAGAATCTGTTGATTTGATTTCTGTTGACGGGTTGTAATGACGAGTTCTGAAAAGCAGGGATGACGGTGAAGTCTTATTAGAGGGGTGAAGGGATGAAGGCTGTCTCTAGATGTATGCTAAGTAATACAAGGGAGCCGCAAAACATTCATGGACAAATGGAATGAGAGGACAATGGGATTTGTTCATGAACTTGTTGAGACCCTCCTCATAGGTTTTTTTTGTTTTTTTTTCTGTGAAACTAGTGGATAATTTCTGCTACTAATGAATTATGCAGTGTGAGAAAAAGACATTTGTTGAAAATCTTATTATGGGTGGGGTACTGTGTTTACATATTTTAGTGCCTTTAGTCCTCAAAATAAATAGCTCTTATAGAAAGTATTATTTTCATTCTACAGCTGAGACAAGGACTTAATCAGAGGTAAGTGACAGCGGGAATTTGAACCTAGCTCCACCTGATTCTAAAGCTTGTGTGTCTATCTTATCTCGTGCTGACTTCATAATCCCTCTGTACTAAAGAATTTGAGGAAGTCACATTTTTCTGTTTGTTTGTTTTCCTAAATGACACCTTGTCATTAGAATTCTACAGATGTCAATCCACCTTTAAAACTCAGTTTGACCTTTCAATTGCAGTTACATGCTGCCCTAATTTTGTAGGTGCTCTAAAGTATGTAAACCTGAATAAGATGCTAATGGCTCTACTTCTGTAGGGCAAAATGTGGCGGGAATTGACTGCAGGATGCTCTCCTGTTTTTGCGTTGTGTTGGCTTCTCTGAGCCTCTTATAGGACTCCTTATTAAATGAAGAGGGCAGTTGTGTGCATCCTGCAAACCAGATGCCGACCTTCACGTCGTGTGACTTAGGGTCGTTTGGTTGAGACTATTTTCAGGGTCTCTCTTGCTACTTCCAATTTATAACTGAAGATTTGTGATGTTTGGAAGTTCTTTTATAAAGATGCTAACTCTTTTCCTTTGTTGGAAATTAAATAAAGAGCTGAGTGAACCAAAACTGAGATTTTTTTTTTTTTAAGTTCTTAGACTTTTAAAAAAGAACTGATTCTTCCCAAAAATGTAAATGTCAGATATTAGTGAGTCTAGGAGTTGACTCTCTAATAAATTTTTGAGGACACACTTATTTTGTGTTTTCTTTTAAAAATCTAGTTGTGAATATACACAGGAAAATGTACACCAATTCAACAGTTTCTGTGTACACAATGTATTGACACTGATAGTGTTATTCCAGTTGTGCAGCCTTCCTCACCGTCTTTTTCTGAGCTCTTCCTGCGTCACTGTTAGTTATTTTTTTAATTTATTGTTTTTTAAAATTTGCTATCATTTATATACCCATTTGCCTTTATAGACTGGCTTCAAAACATTGGTGGAAAAGTGGGAATCATAAAATAATGGAATTTTACTGTGAAATTTTAAAGCCCTCTTATTTATTCCCTTGTTCCTTTTTCCAGAAAGGAAAAAGAAAGGCTCATTCAGAATTCAGGCTATGGCTTCACCATTGGCTTTGCCCTAGGTTTTACTTCTGTTTCCTCAGGACCATGTTTTGTTCCCTGAGATCTTCAGAAGTGGGTGCTAACAACTGCTGTCTTTGTGAACTTTTTAAAGCAATCACCAAGGTGCTACACCCTTAGTTCTGGCAAAGCGCAGAGGAGTGAATAAGGATGTCATCCGATTGCTGGAATCTTTGGAAGAACAGGAGGTAAAAGGATTTAACAGAGGAACCCACTCGAAACTGGAGACCATGCAGACAGCTGAGAGTGAAAGGTACTTGCAATGTCATTTTTAAAGGGCAAGTCACTTTTTAAGTAGGTGGGTCGTCTGTGGTGACTTTGTGAGGTTTATTAGTCATCTGCTTTCAACTATAGAACACAGATGCTCTCTTTGAACTTTTTGTAGCTTCTTATGGCTCCAATTGCAATTGGTAAACTATGAACAGGACCCTCATCTTTCTCCTGCGGAAGCGCTGATGGGCTTCATCCATCGAACTTGTGGTTCACAGTCCAGTGCTTATTGTACAGAACCACTGCACTTCTACACTACCATCCAGTCAATTCCAAATCCTAGAGACTCTATAGGACAGAATAGAGCTGCCCATAGGGTTCTAAGCCTGCATGTCTCTGTGGAAGCCGTCTTCTGCATTTTGCTCCCATGGAGCAGCTCGTGGGTTCAAAATGGCAACCTTTTAGTTAGCCAGCCACTTTAACTACTGCACCACTAGAGTCCCTCATTAGTTTCTGCTGGTGTTAAGTGTTGTCAAGTCAGTTTCAACTTATGGTGACCCTATATGGGGTTTCCAAGGAGTAGCTGGTGGTTTTGACCCACCAACCTTCTGGTTAGCAGTCCAGTTCTTATCCTACAATGCCACACCAGTCACTGATGTTGTTAAGTGCCATCAAGTCTGTTCTGACTCATAGCAATCAGTTTCCAAGGAGAAACTGGTGGGCTTGACCCACTGACCTACGGTTGCAATCCAGTGCTTGTCTTACCTATTAGTCACTGTTGTTAAATTGTTAAGTGTCATTGAGTCAGTTCTGACTCATAGTGACCGACCCTATATAGGGTTTCCAAGGAGTGAATGGTGAATTTGAACTGCCAACCTTACAGTTCAAACAACTTTACAGTCTGGTGCATTAACCCACAGCGCCACACCAAGACTCCAAAACTAGGATTAATGCACAGGCTTGAAATTCTGTTTTGAAGGTTTGTTGTTAAGTGCTGTCAAATTGATAGCAACCCTGTATAGGGTTTCCAAGGAGTGGCTGGTGAGCTTGAACCACTGACCTTGTGGTTCAAACCGACTTTGCACTCCAATGCCTTAACCTGCAGTATATTAGTCACTTGGGAAATGCAAATCAAAACCACAGTGTAATCGTTGCTCATACCCACAAGGATGATTATAATAAAAAAGATACATAGTAGTAACACAATAAAAAGTGTTGTCAAGAATGTGGAGAAATTCAAACCCTTTTAGATTGCAGGTAGAATGCAAAATGGTTCAGCTGCTTTCAAAAACATTTTGGTGATTTCCTCAAAAAGGGTAAACATAGAGTTGCAGTTGATCTAGCAGTTTCACTCCTAGGTTTATACCTAAGAGAATTGAAAACATATTTGCACAAAAATTAGAAACAATCCAAGTCTATCAACTTGTGGTCCATATATACAGTAGAATATTACTTAGCCATAAAAGGGAACGAAGTACTGATACACACTACAACTTGGATAAACCTTGAAAACATTATGCTGAGTGAAAGAAGCCAGTCTCAAAACGGCTACATATTGTATGATTCCATTTACATGGTCTGTTCAGAATAGGTAAATCCATAAAGACAGTAGATTAGTGGTTGTTACAGTGGATTAAGCATTAGGCTGCTAACCAAAAGATCACTAGTTCGAACTCACCAGTTACTCCACAGAAGAACGATGAAGCTTCCAGGAAGATTTGCAGCCTTGGAAACCCTATGGAGCAGCTGTGCGCTATCCTGTAGGATCTTTGTGAGTCAGAATCGTCTCTGACAGTAAGTTTGGTTTTGGATTTTTTTGGCTTTAAGAACTGGGGGCAGGGTGGAATGGGGAATGACTGCTAATGGTTACAGAGTTTCTTATTGGTGTGATAAAGTGTTTTGGAATTGTATAGTAGTGTTTGATTGTTATACAACTGTGAATATACCGTTTGTTGTTAAGTGCCGTCAAGTTGATTCAGACTTATAGCAATCCTGTATAGGGTTTCCTAGGTGCAGCTGTTGGGTTGAACTGCTGACCTGTGGTTCGCAGTACAGTGCTGATCTACAGTGCCACACCAGGAGTCTGAATATACTAAAAACAACTATTTTGTATACTTTAGAAGACTGAATTTTATGACATCAAAATTGTATCTCAATTTTTATGTAACTTTTTTATTGTGAATGATGTGGTAGTTTACATGGGAGAAAATGAGCTTTACATTCATCCTGTCATATATTGTTACATTGCCATGGTTACAGTCCCCTCCATGCATCATCAACCAACCAAAGGGTACACCCCACAAGCCTGCCCCTTCTTCATCAGCACACAGCTCCTCTCCATCTCTGGGTCTAGAGTTCCTAGCTGCTCCATCTCTCCACGTCATCGTCTCTGCCTCCATCTTTGGCATCACTGTTTCTCTGGGTAGGGTCCCACACTCTGCTCTTCTCCCTTGATGGTCCCAGAGGCCTCTGCTTCTGACCTGCAAAGTCAACCACTCCCCTCCTTTTGCT